CTTTTGGACCATTTGTTGTTAGTGTATAGGAATGCAAGAGATTTCTGTGTATTAATTTTATATGCTGCAGCTTTACCAAATTCATTGTTTATAGTTTTCTGGTAGCATCTTTAGGATTTTCTATGTATAGATTCATGTCATCTGCAAATAGTGACAATTTTACTTCTTCTTTTCCAGTTTGGATTAATTTTATTTCTTTTTCTTCTCTGACTGCTGTAGCTAGGACTTCCAAAACTATGTTGAATACTAGTTGTGAGGGTGGACATCCTTATCTTATTCATGATCTTACAGAAAATGCTTTCAGTTTTCACCACTGAGAATGATGTTTGCTGTAATTTTCTCATATATGGCCATCATTATGTTGAGGTATGTTACCTTTATGCACACTTTCTGGAGATTTTTTTGTCATAAATGGGTGTTGAATTTTATCAGAAGCTTTTTCTGCTTCTATTGAGATGATTATATGGTTTTTATTCCTTAATTTGTTAATATGGTGTAACACACTGATTAATTTGTGTATATTGAAGAATCCTTGCACCCCTGGGATAAATTCCACTTGCTCATGGTGTATGACTCTTTTAACGTGTTGTTGGATTCAGTTTCCTAGTATTTTGTTGAGGATTTTTGAGTCTATGTTCATCAGTGATATTGGCCTGTAATTTTATTTTTCTGTGATATCTTTGTCTGGTTTTGGTATCAGGGTGATGGTGGCCTTGTAGAATGAGTTTGGGAGTGTTATTTCTTCTAAAGTTTTTTGGAAGAGTTCTTTTAGCTCTTTTCTAAATGTTTGATAGAATTCACCTGTGAAGCCATCTGGTCCTGGACTTCTGTTTGTTGGGAGTTTTTAAATCACAGTTTCAACTTCATTACTTGGGATTGCTCTGTTCATATCTTCTATTTCTTCCTGGTTCAGTCTTGGAAGATTGCACCTTTCTACGAATTTGTCCTTTTCTTCTAGGTTGTCCATTTTATTGGCATATAGTTGTTTGTAGTAGCCTCTTATGATCCTTTGTATTTCTGTGGTGTTCATTGTAACTTCTCCTTTTTCATTTCTAACTTTATTAATTTGAGACCTCTCTCTTTTTTTCTTGATGTGTCTGGATAAAGGTTTATCAGTTTTGTTTACCTTCTCAAAGAACCAGCTTTTACTTTCATTGATCTTTACTATTGTTTTCTTTGTTTCTATTTCATTTATTTCTGCTCTGATTTTTATGATTTCTTTCCTTCTACTAACTTGTGGTTTTGTTTGCTCTTCTTTCTCTAGTTGCTTTAGGTGTAAGGATAGTTTAAGATTTTTTTTGTTTCTTGAGGTAAGATGGTACTGCTGTAAAGTTCCCTCTTAGAACTGCTTTTGTTGTGTCATGTAGGTTTTGGGTTGTTGTGTTTTCATTGTTATTTGTCTCTCTACTGTTATTTGTCTCTCCATATTTGTCTCTTATAGTCTTTTTTTTTTGGCCACCCCACGTGGCTTGAGGGATCTTAGTTCCCCAAGGCAGGGATGGAACCCAGGCCCGTGGCAGTGAAAGCACCGAGTCCTCACCACTGGACTGCCAGAATATTTGCATAGTCTTCTATCTCTGGGTTTATATATTTGGAAGTATTTTACAAAATTTTGACCTATAACGTTGCTTTGAAAAATATCAATGTTAATGTATGGAAAGGAGAGTATTTGTATAGATCCAGGACCCCAATAATAAGTGGCATCCCATAGATCACTTAATTTTTGTATTGTTTGTTTTTCTGGCAAGTTGAAATGCCCTATTTTAAAGAAGTGTTAAGAAAAAAATAGACTATGTACAGGATATATGAATTAATATATTTCAGGGCACTATTTTTGGCTGCTTTGATATAGATACAACAATTTTAAACGATCTTTTTCATAGCTTCATGCTATAACCTCCCCCAAAGCTAAGGGATGAATATACAACCAAAATGTCAAATAGATCAAAGCTATGGCTCAGTTTCAGTCCTTTTGCCTACTGCCCCATTTGGCATAAATATATGTCCTCTGTCTTTATGGATGGATATTATTTAGTTATTTTTTCTATAGCCTTCATGTAACAGTAAAATAAGATGAAAGAGAAAGGAAGCTTTGTGTCTTACCTAAAGTCACAGAGTGTCTTTGGAGCTGAAACCAGAACACATGTGTTTCTATTTAAGGTAAATGCTTCATCCCTCCCTTTCCTTCTAATTTACTTTTATTAAAAAAAATTATAGCACACAACAAAGAACCACAGTACTCTGTCATAGTTTGTTTCTCCATTCTAGGTGCTTTCTTTCTTTTTTTTTTTTTTGCGGTATGCGGGCCTCTCACTGTTGTGGCCTCTCTTGTTGCGGAGCACAGGCCCGGATGCGCAGGCTCAGCAGCCATGGCTCATGGGCCTAGCTGCTCTGCGGAATGTGGGATCTTCCCGGACCGGGGCACAATCCCATGTCCCCTGCATCGGCAGGTGGACTCTCAACCACTGCACCACCAGGGAAGCCCTAGGTGCTGTCTTGATGAAAAATAATGTATATCTGTGTGTTGGTGAACAGCAGAAAAGATTAAAACCACATAACTAGGCAATTCTATACTGCTCACAGTGATGCCCCTTCTATTAGAGCAATTGGAGTAATGGAATGCTTTATTTTGAGAATGGAGGTATAGTGGTGGCATTATGTACTGATCAGGGAAAGCAATGAAGAAAATGATCTAAGTGATTTCCAGGGAAATCACTTTCCCTTTAATATCACTAAGAAGCATAGATTATTGACCCTATTCTTTGTTCATAATGTTCTTTTAAACGTAAATAGGCTACATATATTTCCTCCTCCAAACTGGAAGCATCATGAATGCAAGAGTCATGCCTGCCTTTTATATCCCTAATTCCAGCAATTCCTAGTTTAAGTGATCACTAAATATTGTTTGAGTAACAGACTGAATGAGTGAAAATCATACATAGACTCACAATTGTATTTTTTTTCAGAGAATTCTATAGATGCAGGCAGGCTCCTATTCAGTCAGTGCATTCAGCTGAATCTCCAGAATCTCCAGGTGTGATGGGGTCTTCTTCCTTACATCTGGAAGTGGATTTTTATGGTCCAGTCACCTGTGAACTCAGAGACAATTATCTGCTGCCCACTCTCATGCAATAAACAACAGTGGAGAAGGGACACGATAACCACAATAAATATTCCTATTTAGAAAAGAAGATGTGCAATAGTCCCGGGTCCGTAACAATGCTGATATCCTGCTAGACAGGCATTTTGAGGGTTTCTTATCCTTCAAATAGGTCTTCATTCTGCTCCCTTTAAGGATATTCCTTGAACATTGTCCTCTGAGGTCTTCGTGCATCTCCTTTAGATTTTTATCCCATTTCCTTTGTCCCATTTGGGAAAAGGGATGTTTAGCTTTTGTAGCTCACTTCTTGAAGAAATAAGCTTGGTTATGTCTAATAGGGTTTTGTTATTGTCCTTTGTTTTGTTTTGTGGGATTTTTTAGGCACCTTTTAAATCAACCTTACTGAGGAATGACATTCATACAATAAAAGGCATACATTTTTAGTTGTACAGTTCAATGAGTTTTGACAAGTATATACACCACCACCTTAATCAAGATATAGAATATTACTATTATCTAAAAAGTTCCCTTGTGCCTCTTGCAGTCAAGTCTTCCCCGTCCATCACCACCCCAACCCAAACCCCAAGCATCACTGATAGCTGTCATACACATAATTTTGACTGTTCTAGAATTTTATCAAATATCAGCTTATGTTCAATTTTCCAATTGTCCCATAAATGCCAAAACATTGTTTATGCCATTTGAATAAAGATTCAAAGAAGAACCACATACAAAAAGTGATTGATCTATTTTTAAAATATCTTCTAAAAATTTCCTTCTCTCTCCCTCTTTCTAATAATTTGTTGTGGAATCTCGGTCATTTTTCTTGTAGATCTTCTGACAGTCTAGATTTTGCTGATTGCACTGAGTTTTAACAGTTCTCTGTCCTCTACTTACAGATGCTATTTCTTTTTAGAGACTTGATCTTATTAAAAAAAAATTTTTTTTTTTTTTTGCCTCATGCACTTTTAATTGGGTTGGAGGATTACAGAATTCTAGAACAACATTCTTTTGATGCTAAGTAACAGAACTGCATAATCCCTTAGAATTGTCCTTCAAATTCCTCTTTACTAGGTCAGCGATCACCTACTGTCTCTGAAAGGTGAGCTCTGTGAAACAGAAATGGTGGAGCTAAGTTTTAATAACAGAAAAAGTAATAAGCAGAGGTCAGGGGCGACGGAGAAGTGGGGATGGGTAAGTGGGAGGCTGATCGATGGCCCATAAAGAAACATGCATTTAAGGGGTGGGAAACAACGTTAGGTTACCGCACGGAAGAGATCAGAAGTGAAACCTGGTTTACTTTTACCAGGTTATTTTTAACGCTAACTGCAGAGTATTACTGGTTTCATAAGACCTTTTTGGGGGGTGATTTTCAGTATTAGGGCAGGGTGGAAGCTTCGTGAGAAAGGTCTGGATAGACTGGACAACCTAAGGCGGTCAAACGATCAATACATCCCAATTTCCCCAACCGTGGAGTCCACACAGTGTGACCCAGCTGGGCGGAAGGTAGCGGGGACCCTCCAAAGCCACGCCCCTCCCGGCGTCCGTCTCTGCGCTTGCGTCACTTCCGGCCCTGGGCGATTCGCGTCCGGGTCGGAGTGAGCCTCTTGCTCTCAGAGTGTGTTACTGGTGGAGGTGCTGCGCTGTCTGCGTTCTCTTCCCAGTGTGATCGAGCCGCAGTGCCTGCCGGCGAGGAGTACCTGCTGCCTCGAGCAGAGGAGGCGAGGAGGGGACCTGGGAGCGGGCAGCGGCCGGGCTGGGCCGCTCTGGGGCGGGCTGGCGACTCTGCTCCTTCGCTTGCTGCTGTCTCTGGGAACCGGGTGCCAGCACTGAGGAGTCTTCAGCTGACAGCAAGCCCCTTCCCCGGCTCCCCTGCCCGCCCTGCCGGGGAGGGCGGAAGATGCCGGTGAAGAAGAAGAGAAAATCTCCTGGGGTGGCAGCGGCAGTAGCGGAAGACGGAGGCCTCAAAAAGTGTAAAATCTCCAGGTACCACCTTCCCCTACCCTTCAGTCTTATCTCCTCTGCTGCAGGGCTAGAGAAGAAGGAGGCGGGCCGAGTCTCCGGGGCTCGGGCCAGGGAGAGGTGAACCCCCTCTGATAAACCTAGGTGGGAGGCGCGGAACCGCGCGAGTCTGCGCTCGGCTCCACCTCATGTTCGGTTTGTGTGCTCTGGCGCCAGCGAAGGGACTCGGAGAGTCGCCTCACGTTGAGCCTACGTGCCAGGGAGGGTGGAGAAACAGGAATGCGTACGCAAATTGCCCTCTTTCCCGTTACCCCCTACTCCCTTAATCCCTTCCCCCTCCTTACTTCCAGACCTAGAAGTGAGTACAGATCCGTGCAAGGGTCACTTCTAGAATTTCTTTGTAGAGTGTGCAGAAAGGAACAGAGCACGAGGAATTTTGATCTGACAACTGCCATGGGAATGGTAGAAAAAAAGCTCCTTATGCTGTAAGTGCCCTCCAGATTTAGTATTTGGAGTGATCTAACCCGGACCATCCCAGTAGGAGCCCCATTTTCTGGAAGTATATAGCGCCTCCACCTGAGCCAAGTCCCTATGTGCGGAGTTGGAAAGGCCCTGCGTGCGTTTTGTTTTTCAGCCATCAGGATGCTGTTAGCTCTCAATATAAATATTAATAATTTGAGAGCTATTCTACTCTGTATCCTCTTGGAGAAAAAGAAAAGGCAGAGCTGTAGTTGTATAGCTCTTTGATCCCCTTGTAGCGTGTCATTAAGGCATTACAGCAACGTTGTATGCTGCAAAAAATCATTGCAATTTAGGTGTGAGAAGTGAGTTTTTAAAATTCCCTTTTCGGGTGTCTTGACAGTATTAGTGGTTGGCACTTAATGTAGCAACTTCAGATGCCACCGTTTAAAGTAGCCAGCATTATAAAGAAGAGATAATGATAGAACTATCCTTAAAGAGAGGTCTGCTTAAAATGTGAGGTAGGTGACTTCTTTAGTCTGCATTATCCTTTTGGTAATTGGTTGAATTTTCTTCCTCATTACTGTGTTTGGCAAAAGAGCCCAAGGGTATTTCTTGGACTATTACTGTGAAAGATACTGCTGTTTTCTTATACCTCTTGAGAACTCATACTAGAATTTGACATAGTTACTTCATTAGCTCATATTTTTTTGAAACATGCAAATTAGTTTTTTGTCACATTAACTTGTAGTAATCTTAATTGTATAATGTATCAAAATTATTTAAATTAAGCACATTAAAACTGCTGAGCAGTCAGTATTATTAGAACTCAGGTGATACTTTGCTCTATCAACTTAAAATTTTAAATATGACACCCTTATTTTATATTACATTATTCAGTTGCATAAGTTATAGCATTCCTAAGTCATTGTGGTAGTGTGGAACCTTGAGAAAAGGTTCTCTGTTCATTAAATCCTCAAGGCTTTGGCCCAATTATTTGAACTGGTATTATCTGTTAGGATTTTTTTTTTTTCTTTTTAATCTGTGGAATCTAATTATAGCCTTAAGTCCTATATTATCTTTTGTCTTTAAAATATTGATTTAAGCTTGGTAGCTGATAAATAAACAACTCTTAATATATAATATTATTCTTAAATATTGATTCACTGAGTATCAAAATATAGTTTGTAAGATTTGTTTTCAAATTATACACATATGTAATTTCCGTACAAATCAGCAGAAGAATCACTAAAGATTTATACCCAACTACCAGTCCTGGATTGAGACCATTAGGTTGAACTTCTGTGTGGTCTTTTGAAATCTGGGGGAAATAATATTAGTGATATTTTTGGAATTTGATAGTGAGCAAAGTAGCATTTGGGTTTTGTTAGACAGAAATTTTTATATATAGATTACTGTTTCAAATGGCAAATATTTAACAATTCCAATTTTTCCCTGTAACACCAACTGTAAAAAAAATATACTTTGGTTTGAATTGAAGTAGTTCATATTGAACTTAGCTTTTCACTAAAAGTTGAGACTTGTTAAAATTCTTAGGCATTTGTGTGTTTTCTAAGCTATTGCAGATCCCAACCCCCTGCTAGACTAATAAGTGGAGAGGAACATTTTTCAAGCAAGAAGTGCCTGGCTTGGTTTTATGAGTATGCAGGTAATGAAATTAATATAAGAAGATAACAGTCACATGCTTTAAAACGTTCTTTTTGGTTTAATCATTTAACAAATTATTTATTGCAGGCCTGCTATGTGTTAGTCCTTTGTGCTGAGATCAGGGTCAAGACAGAGGATTATGGTTAGGCTAAGAATTTGGTGCCCTTTAAAGCTGATATTTCTTTAAATATATAATTCAGTATATGTTTAATGGGAGGAGTGAAACTCATTTACTGTTAGTAAAATTTGTAAACAGATTCACTTATTGGTTTACATCCATTGGCTACAGTAGAATTGGTATTCTGGAAAACACAAAGTATGTAATAAAACATTTTATACTTTATATTTGTTTTTCTTTTCAGTTTTCTTTTGAAATTTTTCTGAACCATAAACTGACATTTTCTGAAACTTGGGAGACATAGTAAAAGATTTAAAACTCAGGTATATCATTACATGACAGATTTACCCTTTAATATAATTGCTGTTTATTTAACCATTCATTTCTACTGGAGATGCAATAATAAACAGACTGATATTAGTACAGTGTACTATATGCTATATTAGGAAGATGCACTGTGAAGGTTCATAGGAGAAATGTATAATCCAGCCTTGGAAGTTTCAGGGAAAGCTTCTTCAAGAAGCTAATCTAAACTACAGTAAATCCTGTAAGTGGTGAATGAAAAACTCTAGGCCTAGGGTGAAACTGTAGTTCAGAGGTAAAAGTCAAAGCCTGGGATGAGGCCAAAGAGTTAAGCAAGTATATGAAAAAGAACACTTGTTTTCCATTTATTATTAACTTCTTCATAAACATATATGAAAAGAAATTTTTTCCCTCTTAGAATGATTTAGTTCTTTTGGAATTATTGATTTTAAAGTTTTGTTTTTTTTTTCTTTCCTCCCCTTTGTTTCCTTTCTTTTACCTGCCTCCCTGGTTGGGTTTCTTGTTTTGTTTTGTTTTTCCCCTTTTATCACTATCATTCTCAGAGTGTTTAGAATAAAAGTGTATATACAGTCATTGTCTTGTATTTATTGCTAATCAAGTTAAGGTCTCAAGAGTACTTCGAACTTAAGGTTAAGGTTTAGGCTAACTGTATGGAAAATAAGATTGTTTTGGAGGACAGTAACTTCACTGTTGGGATCCACTGAGTGATCCCAAAAGTATAATTTAAAAATTGTTTAGTAACAGAACAGATTCTTTCTAGACCAGAAAAAACTGCTATTACTGGCATCCCAAGACAACCACTAACCCAAATTAAATAGAGGGAATTCATTTTCTTTTGACCTCCATTTAAAATGTTGACCCAGTATTCAAAATGCTAGTTTTACTGGTATGTATGATAATGATACAGAATCAAAAGGTCAGTCATCTTATTTTGCCTATAAAGGGTACTGGATACCATAAAATTAGTCAAATTTTTTTTTCTTTCATGCTTGCTTGTTTTACTTCTCGTAGGGACTTTCCTGGGTAGCATAAGATTTGATTTAAACATTTATTTCCTATACAAGCATTTTTTAATGGCCAGCAAAATAATTGCTATCTTTATTACAGAAATTGTGCTAATTATATAATTTTCTCCTGTGACCATTCTGTTAAGTAGGTGGTGTTATCCTTATTTTCTAGATGAGAAAACTGAGGCTTAGATTAAATGATTTGCCCAAGATCATACAGTGACAAGAACCTGGATTCAAACTCAGGTCATTCTGACCATAGAGCCTATGCTTTAACTACTACTGTCTTATTTTAAAATATGTACATGGCAGCTAGTTTTTCTTTTACAAAGAAAATATTAGTAAGTGTACTTTAGGTTAACTTATCTTCTGTCCTTCACTGAATGATGCATATTTATTGAGCACTTGTAGGTCAGGCACTGTGCTAAGTGCTGGGAATATAGTGGTAAACAAATCAGACAAGATCCCTGCCCTTGGGGGACTTGCCTTCCAGCAGGGAAGACAGACAGTAAATAAGTTAAGTAGGTAAGATAATTACAGATTGTGGAGGATTATACAAGTAATAAATATGGTATGATGCAGGGATAGAAAGTAGAAAGTTGGGATGGACTTTCAAATAAGGTGAATAGGGAAGGCCTCTCTAGAGATTACTTTGGTCAGAGACCTAATTGATAAGGAGGTGCCAGTTGTTTGCCAAATAAACAGTAACTGGGATGTCCCTTTTTAAAATGGAGACAATAATTGTGCCTACTGAGATAATACATGTTAAGAAATCACTTAGCACTGTACCTGGTTAAATATAGTCAGAACCCAATAAGTGTCAGCTATTATTAAAAGAGTAATAGTATTCCAGCATCAGATTTACTGGTTGTATATTTTCACAATACTGTTCCAAAATTAACAGTATAGTTCCTAGGTAGTTTATGTTGAAGGTACTGTGTCATTTCATTGAGCAGATTTTTTTTTTTTTTTTCTCCCGAGCATCTGCTATGGCCGGCATTGTTTTAGACCCTGCAGGTATACCTGGGAACATTTCCTTATGGTTATTAAAACATCAGAAAATTGATTTTTTTTTTAAGTTTTAAAAATGTTTTACCACAAATCTTATTTATATATTATAGGTCATGTGTGATAAGCCTGATAGTTTTGCCCTTTCATAACACCTCTCATCTTGCGTGCTATTTACATCAGCAAGGATTCAGTAATACATTGGGCCTGTTACTGAACAAAAGCATAGAAGGTGAAAAGGCACTTTTAAGGTCTTATAAAGAATCAGAAAAAAGGTGGGATAGAATTGCATAATCCTAATAAGTAACCAGCTGGTAGAGTGAACTAAATCATTTTCATAGATTCTTAAGTTGAGTGGAAGCCTCTTTTGTGCCTGAAAGAGTCAGTTAAATTCCACTCCAGAGGTTTTACCCTGGGAGTATTTTTATTGAAGAGTTTCAAGAAGTATAATTGATGTTATGCAATCTGGGGAAAAGAACATTAGTATAGACCTTGTTTTAGATTTAGATTGTTGCTATCATTATTTGCATTGCTTTGTGAAAGTCACTTGTCATTTACAGAAGGGTCTTATATCTATCTTACATATCTCTGTATAACATAATTTAACTTGATTCTTATCAAATTTTAATCACTAATCTCCCATTTTCTAGGGAGGCTATATTTTATGACAGTAACTGATATTTCTTGACATGACTTTCTCTTCTAACTACTAATGATGGCAGCTTTGAGGGCAAGTCTGCTTTCTTGTTGCATTAGAAAAGTTTGGAATATATTTCCATCATGCCTTAAGAAAAAAAACTTTTCTTCCATTAAATTTTTTATCTGATTTTTACTTTCATCCAAACCACATATAAGGATTCATATTCAGTATTTTTTAACACCTTAATTGTATATGTGTGCTTTTAAAATTACATAATTAACACATTCTCATAAAAAACCCCTCCAAATATATATTAGGAAGTGAAAGTTTCCTGCAATTACCACCCCTTCACCTTTTAACACCTCACTGCATAAATAAGTGCAATGCTTATTTAAACCAGAAAATTTTTGAAAAGGTTTTGGTTTCAGACCATGTTGTGAACATCATCTTAGCAGCCTGGACCTTATCTGAGGTAGTAAGAGTTTAACTGGTCACATATTGGATGGTTACATTCTTCTATGAAGAAAAACCATAGGACATTGGCTACATGTTGTGCTTGTGAACTAATGGTGGTGATATAAAATGCCACCTGAGCAGCCTTGGTCTAGTCTATGATTTACAAAGCTGGAGTATTTTCAGTCCTTAAGAAAGGAAAACAAGTTTCTCTTAGCTACTTTAACAATAATATTTGAAGACTGTATTTTCTTTCAAAAACCAGGTGTGGTAAACATTTCTATCATATTTTATATTTTAAAATTTGTTTTACCTTCCTCATTATATTAGTTTCAGGTGTACAATATAATGATATGTGTATATATCACAAAATGATCACCACCTGTCACTACACATAGTCACAAATTTTGTTTTCTTGTGATGAGGGATTTTATGATTCACTCTCTTAGCTACTTTCAAATACGCAAAACAGTATTATTAACTATAGTCATTCTGCTCTATGTTACATCCCCAGGACTTACTAAGTTTGGAAGTTTGTACCTTTTGACCACCTTCACCCATTTTGCCCACCCCTGCCTCTGGCAACCACCAGTCTGTTCTCTGTATTTGAGTTTGGTGGGTAGGAAGGGGGTTGGTAGATTGCTTATACAAGTGAGCTCATATGGTGTTTGCCTTTCTCTGACTTGTTTCACTTAGCAAAATGCCCTCTGGGTCCATTCATGTTGTTACAAATTTGTTTTATCAAGTCAAAAAAGAGACCTAGCAATGATGTGATTACTATATGGGAATCTGATAACATAAAAAAATATGAGAATTGGTGTACTGACTTATATTTACTGTTACTAAGGAGAAAAATATAAGAAAAATGTCCTTAATTTTTGGACTAATGATAGACATAGCTAATTGAGGGATTAAGCATTTATTTCTACATTAAGAAGACATAATGCTTATACTTTACTGTCTATTTTAGGACCAAGTAAATAAGGAAAATATCTCATTCTGGAATCTGAATGTTGTAATTTCCTTAAATCGTTATTTTCATAATATATCTTAAAACTAGTAAATTTTATTTGGGTATATTTCAGAAGGTTAATGAATGACCGTCTGTTTTAGTAAGAAACAGATACTCTCCTCTGTTTACTGTCTTGAATTGTGGGTTAGTATTGGCACAGTCTAGTAGAATAAGAAGCTCAAACCTTCTTGTGCTTCTTTGTTAGTGCATTGTGAAAAATTTTCTTCAGAGGAGGTTCTCAGTAAACGTATTTTTAATGGATAGGTTCAAGTTATTGTACAAGCTAGCGATTGATATTAACATTGCTTTGTTTTCTGTTTCCTTAATTATATTTTATAATGTGGTTTTCAAAGAGTATTTCAAAATTAAAATAATCTGGTGACAAGTAGTTATACTTTATCAAAGGTATGTCAAAATTCAAATTCAGTTATTCACAAAAAACGTTATGGTGTATTCATAGATGCCTTTAACACAGTGACTTATGTTTTATGTTGATATTAAATTATAACAATAAAATATATAAATTATTTTTGTCTTTGAAGGTCCTGATGAAGTTGTAGGGCCAGAAGGAATGGAAAAATTTTGTGAAGACATTGGTGTTGAACCTGAAAATGTATGTTTTATTTCTAAGTAAAATGGAATACAAGTGGGGTATAGCATATTCATAAATTTCTAAAAATTGGAACACTTTAATCTTATCAGAAGATTTTGTTTCTTCATGAATATTGTAGATTTTCATTTAGGTTTTATGAATGTATTTAGATTGGGCACGTGTTCTCTTTCTTGATACAAATGTCATTTGTAATAGAGTAAGAAAGATTCTACCTTCAGAAATTGTTAGAACTTTTTGCTTTTAAGAAATTGGCCCGTCTAAATTTCTTTACAGTTAATAATTCCAGAGATTGTACTCTTTAATAGTTAAAGCATGGAAATAGTTGTATAAAAATGCTCTCCATGATAAATATAGACATGATTATCTCTATGCTGACTTTTCCCCTATCCTTTATGTTCTGTTCTTTCCAGATTATTATGTTAGTTTTAGCGTGGAAATTGGAGGCTGAAAGCATGGGATTTTTTACCAAGGAAGAATGGTTAAAGGGGATGACTTCATTACAGTAAGAAATTTTTTTAAAAAACAAATTTGATGGCCTATTTGAAGATCTTAATTGATATTTTGTGCTTCATAGTTTTTTGGGAGTAAGGTTTCACCTTAAATTAATCAAATTGGTTTGATCTAGAACAATCAGTTTAGGATTGACAAAATTTATATTATGGTCTTTGGCAAAATGAACTGTTACTCCAGTTTTCATATTCCCTAAGAAAGAACCTAAGAACAGTTCTGTTAAAACTCATTGACTCTCTTAATGGGTGAATTAGAGATTCATGATCAAAGTTATTTACTCATGGGATGTTTGAGTGATAAGGGATTTCCTTCTCAGAATGTAGAATTCTACTACATGAGGAGTTTGTTCTTGGGCAGTCCTAAGCTCTGGGGCTTCCTCTCTCTTCAGTTTTATACTTGACTTAAAAAAGAAATTTGATATAAAAAAAAAGAATGTCTGTATGTGTATAACTGAGTCACTTTGCTGTACAGCAGAGATTGGCACAACATTGTAAATCAACTCTACTTCAATGCAAAAAGATTAAAAAAAAGAAATTTGAAGAGAGTTACATGACACTTTTATTATTTCTTTTTTGCCAAATGAATCTCATGAATACAAAAGTAGAAATATTGTTTGGCCCCTGTGCAACCGTTAGCCATTTTATAGTTGTATACTTTCAGTTTAGGATGCTGCCTTGGGACACTTTTATAAGTTATAAAATTGCTTCTTTATAAAAATAATTTGATTTTGGCTTTTCAGAGTAAAGTGTGCTTAAGTTTCAGAGTCAGTTAGTAATTGTGTATTAATTTTATATTATGTCATGTTCCTGATGTTCATGCAGGAAGTTATTAATAATCAACATTCTAAAATAGTTAGAGCAAGCATAAATTTATAATATTTTTGAGCCCCAAACTGGAGGTTAATTAGCCATGTGATTTCCTGTTGTGATTATGCTTTTATTAACACACTTAACTGTTCTTTACTCCTTGTTTGCCTATCCTTAAATTTCAAAATACTTGGTTATTTTTTTTAAGTGTATTTGTTCATATGAAACTTAAATATTAATATTTGGATTTTCAGTGTCTAATGTTTTGTAATTCTCCTTTTTAACCAGCATTAACATTTAGATATTTTGTGTGTGTGTGTATGTGTGTGTCTGTGTATATATATAAATATATATGTGTATGTATGTATACACATACGCATATGTATATATATTTGTTTAATGTAAAAATCTTTGCTCATATGAACCAAATCATAGTTCCTAGAATAGAACATAAAATCAACCCTCTCACTTTTATTACTTATAAGTGAGATGAGGAGTCTGAGACTCAGAGAGGTGAAGAAAATTTTTGCCAGAGTTTACATAGTTCTTAGTGGCAGAGCTAGGACGTAGAATTTAAATTTCCTGGATACCAGTCTACCATACTGTACTTCCTATTGCATCATCCCTTTATGTATATTCCTTTGTTACATTCTTTATAAAATAGAAGGCCATTATTAACTTTTAAAATCATAGTATTTATAACCAAGACTGCCATTCATCTAGGTGTCATAACATGCCAAATTAAAATGTTGATTCTGAAATTCTTTGAGCTGTTTCTCACCATTTAATTAGCTTTATAGAGAAAGACAAAATATATAAGATTATGCAAAGAATATAAACTAATTTCATGTAGCTCAGTCTGTTTTATTAAAATTTATATCAGTTGTTGCATGGCTTGTCAATTGTAAGACATTTTATTTGTCATTACAACTGCTTTATGTACTATTCCTACTGCTTTTTTGTCTATTGCTTTTTAAAATATCTCAGCTAACAATTGTTTGTGTATTTTTAAACCAAAAGTTTCTAATTATTTATGTTTTTGAATTACTTGATATAATATAAAGAGCCTCTGTATAACAGAAATATGTAAACACAAAGTGTTTCTAGTATTTACTTGTGAATAATTAGCATATAGCCTTGGGTATATGCTAGGGAAATTGATGAACTCATAAACATGTTAACGTATCTTTCCAATAGGAAGTTCACAGGCTTTACAAAATAAAAGCAATATTTAGGACTTAAAATTGACCCAGAGGTTTTTCTCTTTCATTCATTTATTATCCCCTTCCCATCTGCTTAGAACTCTGTAGTGTAGATCTTTAAAGCTACTAAAATTAGGCAAGCACTCTTGACTGGTAAAATAGTTATTTTTTTTTTTACCCCCAATGATCTAGATTGCTTTGTTGAAGTACAGAGTATCTTCTCTTAATTGGCTAAATCTTATTACTCCCTGAATCTTCTTGTAAAGAACTTGCTAGGAATAAAATAGTTTAAAATGTAAACCAGTAGAGACAAAAGAATCTATAAAAGTTGTTTTTTTAAAAATATATAGTTGTCTAGTATACTTGGTTTTATATAATCATTATAAAATGTAAAATTTCACAGACTTGATTCCTTTTATAGATTTTTCATATTTTTAGGATTTAATTTAATCTGGACATAGTTATTTGATGGTTCCTAAATCATCTTAATGTAGTTATCAATTATTTCAAATTAATGAATTTTAACACATAGAAAACTTTAAGTAGAGCTCTGCTAAAGAATAGAAACAGTCTGGTAGTTAAAATTTATATTATGGTCAAGAATAGGGAACTGTCATAATCATGGTTAATTATAATCTGTAACTGTATAATGCTTAACAGTTCTCAGAATACCTTTTGTTTTTACATTTATTTATTTTAAAGCTGTTATTCATACAGACTTTCCACAACTGAATTGTCCTCTTTTGTGTGAAAGAATTTATGGGTGTGAATTTGTATATAATTGGACTAGAATGGCCATTTTTTTAAGTTTCGGGGATGTAATTGCCGTATCCTTTCCAGATACTTTGCTCTATTTCATTTTCATCATTGTTTAATAATAGTCAAATTTCCCTTCAAGTCAGATTTAATTTAGGAGATATTTAAACACCTATTTTATCTAAAGTATTGTGCCGCTTACTGATGATCACAATGAGGCATGGGGCACAACTCTGTCCCTTAGTTACATTTCATTAGGGCGGGAAAGGCATTACTGCAGCCATACTGTAACCATAGGCATACTGTAACCATAAATCCAGGTGGGATGGGACAAGTACTAGAGTAAAAGTACCAAATACTATGAAAGCACAGCTGCTAAAGAGGTTAATTCCAGCCGAGTAGACAGGAAAGTCTTTACTGTAGGTGTGGCATTTGAGCTGGACCTTGAAGAATGATTAGGATTTTGATGGTTGAGGGTATAGGAAAATGTTGTTTCAAGAAGAAATTGTGAGCAGAACCTTGAGAAAAGAAAACATATGTCTAGTTTTCTAGAATCAAAAGGTACATAAAGAAAATTGACAGAGTAGTTTTAAACTTCAGATAGTTGGGATAATGGCTACATTATGCAGGGCTTTGACTAATATGTTGAGAGAGTTCAAACCATATGTTTTAGCTTGGGAAGCCATCAGAGATTTTTGAGCATAGGAATCATCAAAGATTCGGGGGATAATTTTCAATAGAGGAGGTTTTTTTTTTTTTAGGTCATAGACTCTTTTGAGAACCTTAGGAAAACTGTGGACCTTATCCCCATTAAGATGCACATCTGTAGAGGCAAGATTCCAAGAATACTTGAAAATTTTATTCATACCTTACTGGAGCGGATAACTTTTCTCATATCTACTAGCTGAAAGTTTGTTGTTGGAGCATCTACCATGCTGTTAGAGAAAATTGTGGGCATATATCTTTGACAAGAGTATACTTGATTATGATAATGAAAAAAAGAGCCAAAAGGATAGCATCTGACAAGAATGGTAGTAACTAAGCTGTCTGCCAGTAGACTACAAGTTGTACACCTTCTGGTCTCCATATTGAGCCTTGTACTTTGAAGATTATAGGCTTTACTGGCTTCACTTTCTTTAGGAGAGAGGAATGGGGAACATTTATACAATTTTTTTGGTGGGAGTGGAAGAATTGAATAGATTGGATGCTCTGGTGTCTGTGGTGTATGACTATCATTCACTTAGCATTTTGGGCCCAAGTACTAATTGCCATTGGCATTCTTCCCCTTTGCTCTCCCCCAGAGTCATCAAAACAATTTCAAAATGCCCCCGCTCCACATTTCCAAATACCCCCCAGAGATGGATTAATTGTATTGTTCGGATTGATCCACCTGATTCAGAGAAAGTTCTAGTCTATGGCCATACCACTCTCAATGCACCCAATCTCGTCAGAGAAAGTTCTAAATCCATAACTTGGTGAATAAAATTCTTCCTGTTATACATCAGTGTGTCATGGCATTCTTATTGACTTAATGATTAAGGAAGATAACCTCACTTAGATCTAATATATAAATGAAAATTTTTTTCTCATTTTAAAGGTCTTAAATGAAGCAGAAATTCAGAAGCCTCTCTTGTTAATCAGATGTTTAACAATACTCAAGAAATTAATTCCTAAGCCTTTATTTTGAAATTTAAACCCATTTCACTGATTCTAACAGCAGTGACCTTGGAGATTACTGTCATATTGTGCCAGTGTTCCCTAAAATCTGTGTGGTTTTATTTGATTGTTATTTTAAAAAGTGCTATTCTTACTTTCCATGCTACACTAGTTAAGTATGCATTTCTTTTTAGTTCAGGGGAAATAGTCTTTCTAAACTTGCCAAGTTAGGAAGTATCAACATTATTAACTCTTGTGAGTCTATTTTGGGGCTAGATTAAATATATGAATCGTGTTTAACTGCTTGGGCATGATTACTGGTTTTGCTGGGTCTGGTCACGGTCTTTATGACGTTGGTAATAGATACGGAAGTTCGTACTCTTATTTTTTTTACTCTTCTCCAAGCAGAAAACATTAATTGTCAGTTCTATTAAATTATTTCTCAACTGAAAGATGTAGATAAGCGATTATAATGATAAGAAATAGTTTGAAGAGAGCCACCAATGTGAAGATGATTTTTCAGCCATTTGCCTCAGAAGGAGCCCATCAAGCTAAGAACTGTGCTACGCATT